AGGGTTCAACGACACGTACCCTGGGGCTTCCGAAACTCGAGAAACTCCAGCAAGAGGTGGGCTTAGAGGCAGGGGAACAGGATCAGTCTGCCTCCTCTACAATGCCTTCAAGCCCTTGGGGATTTCTGCTCACCAGCCACTTTCAGTTCAGTCATGATACCAGGAAACAAGACAGGATGAGAGAGAGCAGTAACACCCACAGCAGAACGAGTGGCACTACCTTTAAGAGGGCTCCCACCGTGCCAGGCACTGTGGTAAACGATTTATGTGATTCTCCCTGGATTCTTACAACAGGCCTGTGGAGCCGACAGATGAGAAAACTGACACAGAGCGATGAAGCAACTTGCCCAGAGGTCACCCAGCTGGTAAGCAGCGGGCCAGACTCCAAACAGACAGCTCCAGCTCTAAAGCCTGCAGCCTTTCCTAACCTCTAAGCAAACTGCTTCTGTTTCCTTAGCCCCGTAAATGATAAAGAGCTCAGCCAATTTAAAAGCAAATTACAGGGGCAGGAGTTTAGCCACTCCGACGCTGGTTGAAAATCCTGTGGGGGCTGGCATTTGGTGAGGCTTAAATCACCGCTGTGTGGGCCGTGAAGTCCTGGCTACTCCGCTTCTGATCCGGTCTCCTTCATGTGTACAGCAGATGAAGGCTTGAGTAGTGAGGGTCCCTGCCACCCATGTGGGAGACCCAGCTGGCATTCTAGCTCGTGGTTTCAGCCTACCCTGGCCCGGCACAGCCCTGGTCATTGTGGGCATTTGGCGAAATGAACCAGTAAATGGAAGATCTCTGTCTCTGACTCTCTGCCTTTCAAATAAAGGGGGCGGGGGGAGACTGCTGTGTCCCTGCGTTAGAGCCCCACCTTGGCTCCTGACCCCAGCTTCCTGGCACTGCACACCCTGGAAGGCAGCGGTGATGGCTCCAGTGACTGCTCCTGTCAGTCACATGAATGCCTGCCTCCCACAAGGGGGCTGGCCTTGGAGGGCATCTGGGGAGTGAACCAATAGGTAGGAGCACTCTCTGTATTTCTCTATCTGCCTCACAAATAAACTCTTAAAAAATTTTTTAAAAACAAATTATAGGGGGCCAGCACTGTGGCGTAGCAGGTAAAGCTGCCGCCTGCAGTGCATATCCCATTTGGGCACCAGTTTGAGTCCCAACTGCTCTACTTCTGATCCAGCTTTCTGCTGTGGCCTGGGAAAGCAGAAAATGGCCCAGGTCCTTGGCCCCTGCACCTGCGTGGGAAACCCAGAAGAAGCTCCTGGCTTCAGATGGGTCTAGCTCCGGCTGTTGTGGCCATCTGAGGAGTGAACCAGCAGAGAGAAGATTCATTCTCTCTCTCTCTCTCTCTCTCTCTCTTTCTCTCTCTCTCTGCCTCTCTGCAACTCTTTCAAATAAATAAATCTTTAAAGCAAAAAATTATAGGGCTGGCGCTGTGGCACAGTAGGCTAAGCCTCCACCTGCAGTACTAGAATCCTACATGCAGGTCTGTTTGAGTCCCGGCTGCTTCTCTTCCAATCCAGCTCTCTGCTATCACCTAGGAAAACAGTAGAGAATGGCCTAAGTCCTTGGGCCCCCGCACCCACATAGGAGACCTGGAGGAAGCTCCTGGCTCCTGGCTTCAGATCGGCCCAGCTCCAGCTGTTGCAGCCATCTGGGGAGTGAACCAGCGGAAAGAAGACCTTTCTCTCTGACTCTCCCTTTCTCTGTTTATAACTGCCTCTCAAATAAATAAGTAAAATCTTTAAAAAAAAAAAAAGGGGGAAAATGGGAACGGAAGACTATAGAGGAATAGTACCCAGTATTAACAATTCTCTCCTTTCTCCCCTCCTCCCAAGCAGCCCTTCTGTGTGTATCTTAAACTGAGGAATACACACATCTACACAAAATGGTTGGTTGGCATGGTTGATGGCAATTAGTAGAGAATGGGATCCGGCACCGCGGCTCACTAGGCTAATCCTATCCTCTGCCTTGCGGCGCCGGCACACCAGGTTCTAGTCCCGGTCGGGGCACCGGATTCTGTCCTGGTTGCTCCTCTTCCAGGCCAGCTCTCTGCTGTGGCCAGGGAGTACAGTGGAGGATGGTCCAAGTGCTTGGGCCCTGCACCCCATGGGAGACCAGGGTAAGTACCTGGCTCCTGCCATCGGATTAGCGCGGTGCGCCGGCCACAGCGGCCATTGGAGGGTGAACCAACGGCAAAGGAAGACCTTTCTCTCTGTCTCTCTCTCTCACTGTCCACTCTGCCTGTCAAAAAATAAAAATAAAAATAAATAAATAAATAAAAATAAAAGTAGAGAATGGGATGAAGTACACACGGGCAAGGCCTCCTGGCTCCTGGTGTCCATCGCTCACCCACCGCATACTGACCTTGGAGCCAGAATCCAGCTCACCAAAAAGCCCTCTACCCTCCTGTCCAGTATGTCGAGGGCGAGATGCCTCCCACAGGACCGGCATCCCCAGAAACCTCCCTTGCCTCTCCACAAAGAAGCAGCGGAATCTGTCAACATCAGTGATGCTTCTGACAGCAGTCCTACCCCTTCCAGCATCCACCTCTTGGATGTGCTCCAACACGCTGGGCCTTGTGCCTGGACCAACAGGGAAAAGGAAGCTAACTTCAGTCTGGGGGAGGAGGATACTGGTGCAGGCTTGCTCGTCTTCTGGCTCTGGCAGCCTGGGACCAAGGAAGAGCCAAAGGGTCCGGGACAAGCAGGTCCCCGATGGTTTGCACAGCAGCCGTAACACAGAAGAACAGGAGCGACACAGGTCCCAGATTCACCACTGCCCTTTGTGGAACTCATCTGGAGGAACGGTGGAGCAGTGACTGCCCCAAACAGGATAAATGCAAACTGTTTTCTGCCTCTCCCACAGCAGAGCTGCCATCTTGTTCTGCAGGGCATGAGGAGGGGTGGGAAAGCAGCCCCACCATTCCCCAGCCAGGCCCTCACCAGTGCAAGCAGAGTTAAGAGGGAAGGGGCGAGGGGCATGCTGCCAGGCCTCACATCACACCACCAACTCCCTCGGTTTTTCCCCGGGCTCTGATCCCCAGGCCTCCCTCCCTCCCTGTGTTCTGCAAGGCAGTTGGATGAGTGCCTCTCTGCCAGCTATTTCCCAGGGAGACCATGTTCCCTTGGCCTGAGGCAAACAAAAGCCTCCTGGCTTCCATTTTCCCATCCTGTCACTGCCCACCTCCCCTCAATCCCTTCAGCCTGGCCCACACCTCACCAGCCACTACCCCCTTCTCTGTTCCTGACCCCAGTGTGGTCGCCATTACTCCGCTCTCTCGCACCTGGCAATTCTTCTAGCTGTCTGAAAAGACAGGCCCACAGGCCCACATCAGGGACACCCACCTCCTCTCTCCTCAGCTACTCACCAGAAATGGAGACTGTAGGAAGCCCCTCTGTCAGATCTCGGCACAGTTCCTCTGAGTCTCAGAAGCTGTAACAAGGGATTTGGGAGTTCTTGGAAGGCTGGTGGGGCCAGGTACCCCATTACGGCTGGACAGGAGGCAGATAAGGCCAGAACCCCTTCCTTCCTCTTGGGACCAAGGCATGGGTGGAAGATCCTTAATACTCTCAGCGAGTTTGGGCCAAAGAATGGCACAGAGGCAGGAGCCCTGGGCTGGGCAGCTCAGAGAGCTTGGAATGGGATTTGGTGACCATCCACCAGTGGCCAGCAGGCAATAAGGCCATGCCTGTGCCAGGGATATGACCAGAGTGAACCAACCGGAACCAGCTCATGCTACAGCAAGCACAAATGAAGACCCAAACAGCAGCAGAGAACACCTGCAGGGGGATAGCGGGGCCAACACAGTGCACTGGGGGCCCCTCCCCACCAACTCCCACGCCCCTCCTTATTTGAGACCACCTAGTCTCTTCACCCGCCTCCCTGGCCACACCCCTGGGTCCTCCCTCAGAGATTACCACCGGGGTGTATCCACTCTGTCTTCTGGCCTGTGCATCCCTCAGCTCTGAAAGAACCTTTCCGGAAAAAATGATGGTAACAGTGTAATAATAATAATATGGCCACCATATACTCAGCATTGACTAGGTGCCAGCAGCACTGTGCTAACACAACCTCCCTAGGAGGTGTCATTATCCTTGTACAACAGGGGCTGAGGCTGGGAGGGGGTACGGCCACACAGCTAGCAAGCGTCAGAGGGGGGATCTGAAGCCAGATCGTTGCTGGTGTGCCCAGGCACCTTGCCCTACACTCTGGCCACACTCTTTCAGGACTGAGCCCAGAGGCTGCACTTCTCCCAGTGTAGTGTGGGACATCCCCGGGGAGGGGGCTGGTGACTGGATTTGGGCACAGACACCACCCTCCCCTTGACCACCACCACCCCCCCCCCGTGCCAGGTTGTAATGTTAGACCAGGGCCAGAGGGGGGCGCAGGTGGCTGGGGACAGCTCCTCCCTCCCAGCTGGGACTTTGTACCCGTCATGGGAACAGATGATGCCACACAGAACTCCCTGCAAGGATGGCGCCTTCAGGAGATAAGGATCCCTCTGCTGCAGGACTCCTCCCTCTCCTGCCCTGTGAGCCTCCGACACCCTCCACCCTCCGGCTCATGTTCCCAGTAGAAGTCCCTCTGGGAAAGGCCAGGAGAAGCGCAGCCTCCCAGGACAGAAGCCACTGCAGGAAGGCCTTGCAGTGAGAACGAGAAACTGGACCGGGACACGGGAGTCGGACCCCAGCCCCATCTGTAAAACCCTGGCTGAATGGAGCCCGCCTGGCCGAGGCACAGGCCACTCCTGGCTGTGAGGGCCCAGGCACGAGGCCCATCAGAGAACAGCCAAGCAAAGGCACCAGCAGCAGACTCCTGCTCCCTGCCAGCTCCCTCGGCACCCCCGCAGGCCTCCTCTGCTGTGTTCCAGAATCCACCCTACCACCTACCACCCTGTCAGAGGGCAGACCCACGTCCCCACCACCCGCCGCAGGAGCTGCTGCCCTCACCCCACCGCCTGCCCCAGGGCCCTCCAGGAAGCAGAGGTCAAACAAGGCAGAAACAGGAACACGATGCCGTTTATTTGCGTTTCTCAGAATACTGTACAAAGGGAGTAAAAATCCTATTCACACTTTGCTTAGAAAGATTTTGAGGTGAAAGTTCCCTATGATCCCTGGGGTGGGGGATGGAGGGCCGGGAGGCAGAACACAGGGCCAGTGACCTCCCTCCTCCCTCGGGCCTCTGAGAGAGGGCACAGGGCCCAGACCTTCTCTAAAGCAACACCACCCCTAGGTGACAGGGGAGCCGCCGAGGCTCCGCCCACCTGTCTCTCCTCAGGCCCAGGAGGCAGCGCTTACAGGCCCCTTCAGTCCCCCACACGGCCCTGTCCTAGCGCGGATCCCACAGGACTCTGCAGTCCACTGGCCCTGAGTAGGGTCTGCCACCCGGGAGCCCCGGCCAGCGCGTCTGCATGAGGTTACCAGGTGAGGGGCTACAGAAGGGCCCCCCCACCCACCATTTCCGTCACGGCTTCCCCACAGCCCTCCCAGCACTCCCATGGGACGGGAGCTGCCTGTGTCCATCCCCGACGCCAGCCCCAGAGCTTTAAACTTGCTTGAGCAAGCCTCCCTTCCCTAGTACCAGCCCAGGCTGGGTAAACGCCCTCTCCCAGCCTGCAGCCCTCCCTCCCGGACAGCCCCACCCCTCTGCTGCCAGGCAGCCCCGTCCTCTAGGCCTCAGCTCCTCCCCTGCACCCGTACGGCAGGGCCAGAGACACAGCAGCCCCCACCTCTCCTCCAGGACCAGGCCAACTGCACCCACCCCGCCCTCCCTCTGCAAACCCTCCTCCCACCCACCCAGCACCCAGGCCGGCTACTGAGACTGGCGTGAGGCAGCTCTCAAGGCGCCGCACATGCCTGCATTCGTGCAGCCCAGCACCCACTGAGCGGCCCCCTGCAGACCTAAGGGTGAAAGTACCGTCCCCTCCGCACCCCTGGCAGGGGCTAAAGTGCTTTGGCTACTTGAGGGTCAACAAGTGACAGAGGTTTGTCCCTGACCTCTTGTCCCAAACTCGCAGGCCCATGTTCAGCCCAGGAGCCCAGCCCATTCTATGACCACCCCCATGGAGTCTTTTTATTCAAAAGGCAAAAGGAAAAGATCAAAAAAAATCAGAAGGGGTCAGAGCCCGGGAGGCCTACCCCAACCCCACTACAAGCTACTCCAAGTCGGCTACTGGGGGAAGCAGGGGGGAACCAGGCCAAGAGGCTCGGCCCCCATCTCTGGCAGCGTCCAGAGGCTCCTTCTGGCTTCAGTATCGCAGTACAGGCCCTCAGCCCTCCCCGGCCATCCTGGGCAGGGGAAGGCGCTGCACCCTCAGTACTTATTGATTCCGAAAATGCGGACTCCGTGGAGCTGGGGCAGCTTGGGGATGAGCACACTCATCAGGGACACGGTGTTGAGGATGAAATGGATGTGGTCGTATTTGGTGTAGAAGCTGGTGAGGAAGTACCTGGGAGGGGAAGATTGGAGAGAGATCAAGACTGTCCCGGCCTCTTCCTCCCGCCCTGGTTGGACGACCTGACAGCTGAGGATTACAGGACAGGGTCCCAGAACCAGAAGTGGGACGCCAGGAACGCCCAGGCTGAAGAGGCCCCTCTGTGTCACCCAGGACTATGGGCCCATCTCACCAAAAGGAAGGAAGCTCCTGCTGGGAAAAGACAGGACCACAGTTGTCCAAGGCTCAGCTAAGCCCAGAGCTGGGACCCCAACTGTCCATCCTCTGCTCGTCCGTATGCCAGAGGCTGGCATCGGGGAGGGGTTAAGGCTGACTGGGCTCCGGGCTCCCCCAGCCCTGCCCTGCCTGCTGGGGTCCTCCTCCAGCCAAGGCACTCACAGCACAATGGGTGTGATGGTCAAGAACTTCCGAGAGGCTGTGAACTGGACCCCGTAGTCCATCTGCTCCCAGTGGGTCAGCAACCTCGCCTTGCCCTGGTCCGGAGTCTCGAAGGGTGTCCCCTTCACCGTGTGCAGGAAGATGTACATGCCCTGCAGGGGAAAGGCTGGCTCAGTTCCTCCATCCACACGTCAGTCACACAGACGGGGAACCTCCACCTGCTGGGCAGGGGGATGTGGGCTGAAGGTCAGGATGAAGCAGCTAGGAGCCTGGCTAAGGAAGTGGGACCCCTGGGGGAGAGGGCAGGCCTGGCATGAGGAAAGCATGGTGGGGGGGGGAGAGTCAGCCACAGAACAGACACGGAAATGCTGCCCTCCAGCCCAGACTGGCCCCTAGGCCCCTGGGAGCAAGCTGATGGAGGGGTGCAGATCCCCATGTGCCCAAGAGTACAGGCAGCAGGTGGTAAGGGCGCAGGGCAACGCAGAGTGGGACTGATCTGAGACCCACCTTGGGAAAGGGAGAAAAGGGAGAAAGGGGCATTTCTGCACCTGGCTAGACACCACACTCCATGTCCTGAGGCCACCCTGGAGCCCCGGCTTCAGCCCTCCACAGCCTCTCTTCCAGGCCCACAAGCCACCCTACCCTGGAGACGCGGACAAATCTGCTAATTTGATTCTTCTTATCGATGTGCACGGCTGGAACCCAGCTCAGCAGGGGGAGTGGGGCAGGGAGATAAGAGGCAGGCCTGGGCTCTGGCAACAGATGTTGTTGAGTGTATCAGCCTGACATCTGGCCCCTGACCAGCAGGCTCCTCCTACACGCGGCCCTGCCAGGGAGCAGCCCACGCGTGGCCAAGGGCAGGCCCTCACCATGTTGTGGATGAGGTTGGTGAGGGTCCAGACGACAGGGACGCTCACGAAGGGGATACTCAGCAGCACGACGTGCAGGAGCCCGATGGCCAGCACGTAGGAGAGCCAGATGCCGCGGCTGTTCATCACCCGCGTGTTGGGGTTCACCTCGCTGTGTGCTGTGCCCACGTTCATCGTGCCGCCCCTCTCCTCCGCGGCCCTGCAAACAGGCAGCGCCGGTGAGACAGGTCACACCACTTTCCCTGCCCCCTCTCTCCCTCCACATCCCACAGGCAGGCTCGCCCTTCTCGACAACTCTATGCCACCCGTTCACTCTTTTCACTCTCCAGCGAGGCTGAAGAAAGTCCATGCGGCCTTAGTGCTACTCGCTGCCCACTGCCGGGCTGGGATAAACACCAGGCTGCTAGATGCAGCATCCCAGGAGGACTGTGTCCCACCCAGCAGGGCCTGGGAAGACAAGTCATCGAGAGGCCTCCAGCCCAGGGCAGACAAGTGAGTGCCCGTCCCCCAGTCCCACTACTCGTGGCATTCCCAGAAGGGTCCGTCCTCTTTCTACACAGCGGTGGGCAAATGAGAAAGCCCCCCCAGAATTCTCACAGAGCATAACCCCTGCTGCACCCTGTCTCACCCAGGGCCCTTAAGGGTCTCACCCTTAAGCCCTTTCCATAAGGGGCAAAAGCAGATGAGGCCTGTGGGCACAGGCCACCATGGCTGAAATATATTTGGGGTTGCTGCTTCCACCCACCGCCCTCAATTCTCCAATCCTGGATCTCGCCCAGCCCCAGCCCAGGAAGACTGAAAGGGTAGAAAGAGAGGAGGAGGAAGAAAGCTGAAACCAAGAGATAGGACACCCTTTGCCCAGACCTGGACAGCTCTCTCTCCAAAACACTTTTATCCATTTGGCAGCCCCTTGGGCTCACCGTTGTGATGCCATCCACTCTGTTGCCAAACCACCAAGGCCCTTTTCCCTACCAGAGAAGGGAGCTGAGGACAGAGGGCATGGCCGCCATCCACAGCCCCTAGGCAGCTGGAACTCACAGCAGCACCCCTCTTCCGAGGACACAGACCAGCACCTGTGGCCTCCTCCTGCCCAGCGGCCGGCCCTCCCTGCTCAGCTCTGATAGTGGATGCTGTGCAGCAGGAGGAGCCAAGTTAGAGATGGGAGGGAGGGTAATGATGTGCCCCCTGGGCAGAGCCTGCTGGCCCCACACCACTGAGGGCCCTGTGGCCAGCAGAAGGACACCTGTGTATCAGCTCACCACCCCACCTGAGGCAGGATCCTGCCTGCTAACGACCCTGAGGTCATCACCAGGGTCGCAGTCCCCCCTTTCCAAAGAATGCAGGAGGGGGTCCCAGGTCCGAGGTGGAGATATTCCAGGAGTGCCCAGAGGCTGCCTCCTCACCACGGTGGCCACCTCCAACTCAGATGTTACCTGTCTCTGTCTAGGACCCTAGACAAGCTCGCACACAGGCCAGAATGCTGAGCAGTCAGTTCCTAGCTTCCAGGAGAATGGGAGCAAGTTTCCTCTTCTCGGACAGCTGTGAGCGCAGAGAGCTCAGGGGAAACACGGCCCACAGCACGCCCTCCCAGCAAACAGACCTGAGCCGGCCTAGGTGCAGCCTGGTTGCAAGATGCTCCTGGGGCCATCAACCCAGCCCATTAGGTTGGATAACTGGGCCTAACAGAAGCCCAAGGAACCAGAAAACCAGAGCTGTGTACCTTCCCGAGCCTTGGGGCTTCGGCTACCCTAGCACAGCTCCTGGGACGCCTCCTGCAGGAAGCCTGCACCTGCGGGGAGGGGCAACATCTGGCGGAGGAGAGGGAAAGAGCTCCCCACGTCTGACCAGAAACTGCTGCCCCAGACCTACTGAGGTACAGGTGTAGAAAAACCTCCAGCCCAGAAAAGCCCGATGAGAGGCCTAAACCTAGGTCCTCGCTAACACCCTGGGAGACGGGAAACCTGAGGCCCGGCAGCAGAAAACCCAGGGAGACTCACCAAAAGACAGAAAAAGTCAACAAGCTAAGAAAAAGACGGGCAGCCAGGAAGCACTCTTGGGATCTTCCTGTGGCTACAGGCACATGTCACTTCCACCAGCAAGAAGCGGAGACACCGGAGAAGGGGCTGGCAGAGGCAGGGCAGGTCCACAGCAGCCCAGGCTGGGAAGTTCTGCGGCCACCGCTGGCAGGTGGCTGCCAGCCCCAGCCCTGGTGCGCTTTCATAACCTGCTTCAAACCAGAGCCGGCAGCAACTTTGTTCTGTTAACCACTTTTCTGCTGGTGGCTCCGTTCCTTCCCTCCCCTCCCCCTTGGCTCCAAACACAAACACCCCAGCCCAGCCAGTCTGTCGGACACCTGAGCCAAGGCCGAACAGAGTGCGCCCTGGGGCAGCCACCAGGTGTGCGCTCCCCCTCCCCTCCCCCAAGTAAGGGCAGCCTTTTAAAGAGCGAACCTCCCGCCTTCTGAGTGAGGATCACGGAACACCCAGGCCTGTACCCTGAAGACCCCAATCTGGCGTCCGTGGCAGCACGGCCCGGCGCCGCTCCCATTCTGCCCACCCCTCCGACCTGCAGGGCCACAGCTGCTCACCTCTCAGCTCTGGCCCAGCCTCCCGCACTCGCGAGGGCGGTGGGAGTGGAAAGAAGCGAATACCAAGGCAAACCCTCGCTAACCCAGCCAGAGGGAGGAGCGAGGAGGCGGAGTCCTGACCATTGTTGTTGGGGTTTTCTGAGTGGGACCTCAGGGCCGGGACGGCCTCCGCTCGGCTCCCCGGCCTGGGAACTCACAGCAAGTCCAAGGCCCCACCCCCATCTCCACGCGTTCAACCAGCCCTCGAAGCAGCCAAACCTTTATCCCCGGGGCTCAGCCGCTCCCCGCCCCCCAACCCCAGCCTCCCGCTCCTGCCGACGTCCCCCGCCCGGCCTCCCACTCCCACTCCCACTTTCCTTTCTGGGCCCCTCCTCGGCCGATGCACCGCCCACCGACCCAATCACCCCCGCCCGGGGCTCCTCTAGCCTGGGACGCCAACCCAGCAGCCCCCACCTTCCCTCTCGCCCCTCCTCTAGCCCCGGGGCCTCCTGGTTCCGCCACTCCGAGGCCGTCCGCTTGGGACTCACCGCGCGGGGTCGGAGGTCGAGAGCCCGGGAGAGTTGCCCGGGGGCGGGGGCCGCTGCTACTCCAGCAGCTGTAACAACCCGCGGCGGCGGCCACCCTACTGGTAGCTCCAGCCAAATCAGCTCCCCGCGCCGGCCCCCGCGACGTCACCGGCCCGCGCCGGTCCGCCCGGTGCCTCCTGGGAATTGTAGTTTCTCTCCCTGCCTCTGTACGTGCTATCCCGGCGCCTCCTGGGAGTCGTAGTTTCTCCTCGGCTCTGGGCCGGGCCTGGCGGGGGGCTTGCGGGGCGAGGGTCTTACTGTGACGTGACAGGAAGATTCGACAGTATTCCATTGGTGCGTAGCAGTTTCAGCTTCTGCGCCTGCGCAGTGTGGTTTACCCTTGCCCCGGTTTTGCAGGTGAAGAAACTTGGGAGTTTTAAGTAACTTGCGGCCCCAGCTTGGACCGGAAGTCAGATATTCAGACCCCAAGCGCAGGGTTTTTCCACTACAGCTACGCTGTCTCCGACCTGGCCCCATGCTGGCTGCTCCAGAAGCGGACTCGCTGGGCCGCATCCTGAGTCTCCTGCATCAGACGTCAGAACGGACCCATGTCATAGAGAGATTCCTTGATAAATAGTTACCAGCTTGACTTTCTGTCTCAGGTCGGTTCATGTGGCTTTGGGTGGGAGGCGCTGGTCAGCATTCTGCGGACGCTAAAGGCGAGGAGACAAGATGTTAGTGTCGGGAAGACACTGCGTAGGCACTCCTTTACCAGCGGTGACCCTAGGCAAGTTAACTAGTCTTAATGTCCAGTTCCACACCTGGAAAACCCTATCTCCCGTTCAAAAGAATGTGTTGTAGGAAGCTGAAGTGGTTCTTGTGACCTGGACTCCCAGTCTCCGTGTTCGCAAGAGGGCCTTCTTTGGGTAGTTTCCGCTCCCCCGCCCACCTTTCTGGATCCTCTCTAGCACAACAGGATCAGATGACGTCACGGTATGCCAACCCCACTGCCAGGACACCCCCCACCCCCACCCGCCTACCCTGAACGCAAGGGGACGAGAAGGACAAGGCAGACCCCAACAAGCTGAGGAGTATTTTCCCTCGGACCCCAGCTGTCCTTGGGGGACTTCCTGGAAACAGTAGTCACACAGCTAGAGTGAGACTCCAGGGGCACCTCGTGGACAGGCAAGTAGGTGTCTGAATCCCCCGGAGCAGAACAGGCAGCTTCTCAAAAATCCCCAGGGCCAATGACTCAGGAGCAGGTACACCAGGACCTAACTAACCACCCCAGAAACTGAAGAGGTCCTGCCTTGTATCCTCCACTAGTGTCACTGGGGTTGTACAGGCCCCGCTCCTTAGGGTCACCTTCTGCAAACAGAAGCAAGCAACTGAGTGTAGTCCTTTTCGCAGAAACCTCCTTGGCAAAAGAGATGTCTGACTTTTCTCTGGCATTCTCCTTCATCCTTTGGGTTGCTGGAGTTGTCTGGATCTTTGCCAGTTTCCTTGTATCTCTGTGACACTGATTGGTCACTAGGGTTCAGCCTAGTGCAGGTTCCAACAGAAAGAGCACCAGACATGTCAACTCTATTAATAACTCCTGTTATCAAGCTTGGTTCATTGGTTTGTTTTCCACAACAGGAGTGAACAGAGCTCTGACTCATCCTGGGTTTGCCGTAAATTGTAGATCACTTTGTGCTTTACTTAGCCAGAGTCCCTGTTGTTATCTTCCTCCTGCCCTAACTTTTGGCTCTTAAAATCGTCATGTCTTCACCAAGCATCCTTCAGCTGTGAATAGGCCAGAGCACTGTTCAGAATGAGTGACAGCACTCGTTTAAAAAATATATATATTTTATTATTTTTTGAAAGTTATAGCCAGTGAGAAGGAGAGACAGAGATAGGTCTTCCATCTGCTGGCTCACTCCCCAAATGGCCACACCGGCCAGAGCTGCGCCGATAGGAAGCCAGGAGCCGGGAGCTTCCTCCTGGTCTCCCACACGGGTGCAGGAGCCCAAGGACTTGGGCCATCTCCTACTGCTTTCCCAGGCCATAGCAGAGAGCTGGATTAGAAGTGGAGCAGCCGGCGCCGCGGCTCACTAGGCTAATCCTCCACCTTGCGGCGCCGGCACACCGGGTTCTAGTCCCGGTCGGGGCGCCGGATTCTGTCCCGGTTGCTCCTCTTCCAGGCCAGCTCTCTGCTGTGGCCAGGGAGTGCAGTGGAGGATGGCCCAAGTGCTTGGGCCCTGCACCCCATGGGAGACCAGAAGCACCTGGCTCCTGCCTTCGGATCAGCGCGGTGCTGCTCCGGTGGAGGGTGAACCAACGGAAAAGGAAGACCTTTCTCTCTGTCTCTCTCTCTCTCACTGTCCACTCTGCCTGTCAAAAAAAAAAAAAGAAGAAGTGGAGCAGCTGAGGCTGGCGCCGCAGCTCAATAGGCTAATCCTCCACCTGTGGCGCCAGCACACTGGGTTCTAGTCCTGGTCGGGGTGCCGCATTCTGTTCCGGTTGCTCCTCTTCTGCACCCACATGGTAGACCAGGAGAAGCACCTGGCTTCTGGCTTTGGATCGGTGTGGTGCACCCCCGGCCATTGGGGGGTGAACCAACAGAAGGAAGACCTTTCTCTCTATCTCTCACTGTCCACTCTGCCTGTCAAAAAAAAAAAAAAAAAAAAGGGAAGTGGAGCAGCTGGGACTAGAGCCAGCACCCATATGGGATGCTGGCACCGCAGGCAGAGGATTAACCTACTGCCCCGAGTGACAGCACTCTTACGTGGTGCTGGGGAACTTGTAACTTCTTGGACAAAATAGCATCCATGCCTTGGAGTGGCGACTCCACTTCAGGTAGCTGTTCTAAGGAAGCCATTCCATGGAAAAGGTACAGGAAAATCTGTGGCATGTGAGAATGTTCATTTTAGTAAAGTATGTAGTAGGGGAAAGCTGAAAGAAATATGGCTATCTCTTGGATGGGATAGTATGAAGCCATTTAGGATACAGTTGTGAAAACTATGTGGCTAGTTTATATTAAAAAAAATATATAAGGATACAAAATAGCTTAAGAAGGGCCTGCCCATCAAGGAGAGAGGCGCCTTTCTCTGAAGGGAGGAAGGAACCTCCACTGTGATATGGCCTGGACTAAACAAATTCAGAGTTGGTGAACTCAAGGGGCTTCCATAGCCTAGACAGCTCATAGCAAGCGTCTCGGGTGATTGCTGACATCATAAATAAGAGTGCCAATTGTTAAATCAACAACGGGAGTCACTGGGTTCATGATCCCCACACAGGATCTCTGTCCTTAATATGTTTATCTATGAAACTCAAAAACAACACTACTAGTCGAACAATACCCTATACCTGGTTCGGTTGTGTGAGTGCAACCTGTTGAAATCCCTGCTTAGTATATACTAAGTTGATCTTCATTTTTTTTTTTTTTTGACAGGCAGAGTGGACAGTGAGAGAGAGAGACAGAGAGAAAGGTCTTCCTTTGCCGTTGGTTCACCCTCCAATGGCCGCCGCAGCCAGCGCGCTGCGGCCGGCGCACCGCGCTGATCCGATGGCAGGAGCCAGGAGCCAGGTGCTTTTCCTGGTCTCCCATGGGGTGCAGGGCCCAAGCACCTGGGCCATCCTCCACTGCACTCCCTGGCCACAGCAGAGAGCTGGCCTGGAAGAGGGGCAACCGGGACAGAATCCGGTGCCCCAACCGGGACTAGAACCCAGTGTGCTGGCGCCGCAAGGCGGAGGATTAGCCTAGTGAGCTGCGGCGCCGGCCTAAAGTTGATCTTCAGTATACGAAGGTAATTGAAAATGAAACGTGATGAAGGGCGGGATGGGAGAGGAAGTGGGTGAGGGGAGGGCCACGGGAGGGAGGGAGGTCGGGGGGAAGCCACAACAATACAAAAGATGCATTTTATATTCTACTGAAAACTATTGGTTGAAACAGACACAGCTCTTCATGAGCTTAATTATTAAAAAAAAAAAAAACTATTGGTTGAACTCTGTAATTAATATACAGTCACTCTTAGGTGTTTAATCAATGCTATAACTAGTACTCAAATAGTATTTTACACTTTGGGTTTCTGTGTGGGAGCAAAATGTGGAAATCTTTACTTAACATATGCTAAATTGATCTTCTGTATATAAAGATAATTGAAAATTAATCGTGATGTGAAGGGGGAGGGGAGAGGGAGTGGGAGAGGGGAGCGTTGTGGATGGGAGGGAAGATACGGGGGGGAGGAGGCTATTGTGATCCATAAGCTGTACTTTGGAAATTTATGCTCATTAAATAAAAAAAAAAAAAAAAAAAAAAAAAGAAGGGCCTGCAATACCAGCATCCCATATCGGAGTGCCAGTTCCAGTCGTGGACACCTGGTTTCCAATCTGGCTCCCTGCTGATTCACCTGGGAAAGCATCAGAAGATGGTCCAAGTGCTTGGGTCCCTGTCACCAATGGGAGAGACCCAGATGGAGTTCCAGGCTTCTGGCCCAGCCCCAGCTGCTGCAGGCATTTGGGGAGTAAACAGGCAGACAGAAGATCTCGCTCCCTCTGTCTCTCTTTCTGTCCCTCTCTCTGTGTCACTCTGCCTTTCAAATAAATAAATAATTCTTTTTTTAAAGATTTTATTTATTTGAGAGGTAGAGTTACAGAGAGAAGGAGAGACAAGAGAGAAAGGTCTCCCATCTGCTGGTTCACTCCCCAGATAGCCTCAATGGCAGGAGCTGTGCTGATCTGGAGCCAGGAGTCTGGAGCTTCTTCGGGGTCTCCCACGTGGGTGCAGGGGCCCAAACTCTTGAGCCATCTTCTACTGCTTTTCCAGGCCACAGCTGAGAGATGGATCAGAAGAGAAGCAGCTGAGACATGAACCGGCACCCATAAGGGATGCCAGCGCTGCAGGCAGAGGCTTATGCCAGCCCCTAAATAATTCTTCATAGAAAGAAAGAAAACCCCAAATAGCAAATGACCATTGGAAATCCCCTTAAAATATATTTTTATTAATTTTTCTAAAGATTTATTCAAAAGGCAGAGTGACAGAGGGAGAGACAGAGAGAGACATCTCCTATCTGCTGTTTCACTCCCCAAATAGCTTCAACAACCAGGGCTAGAACTCCATCCTGGTCTCCCACGTGGGTACAGAGGCCCATGCACTTAGGCTATCTGCTACTTTCCCAGATGCACTTGCAAGGAGCTGGATATGAAGTGAAGCAGCCAGAACTCAAATTGGCACTCGAGTTGCCTGCATCATAAGCGGCAGCTTAGCCCACTGTGCCACATGCTGGCCCCTATTTATTTGTTTTATTTAAAAATCTCCTTTGGAGCCGGCACTGTGTCGCAGCAGGTTAACGCCCTGGCCTGAAGCGCCATATTCCCATATGGGTGCCTGTTCAGGACCTGGCTGCTCCACTTCCTATCCAGCTCTCTGCTATGGCCTGGGAAAGCAGTGGAAGGTAGCCCAAGTCCTTGAGCCCCTGCACCCACGTGGGAGACCCGGAAGAAGCTCCTGGCTCCCGGCTTCAGATTGGCACAGCTCCAGCCGTTGCAGCCAACTGGGGAGTGAACCAGTGGATGGAAGACCTCTCTCTATCTCTCTTTCTCTCTCTGTGTAACTCTGACTTCCAAATAAATAAATCTTTTTTAAAAATTATTTTAAAATCTCCTTTATCTTTTACAAGTTTATAGTAAAATGTTGTCAATGAAATCATACAATGACTGGATTTGCTCAGAAATAATCTGGCTGGAGCTTTGTGGCTATAAAAGAAACAAGATGGGCCCTGAGGTGGTATATAACGCAGCTGTGTCATGGGGATGTGAGGTTCCTTATATTATTTTCTCCATGTTTCTATGTGTGAATTGTGTCTAATAAAAAGTTTTTCTGGGGGCCAGGGTTGTGGCACAGTGGGTTAAGCCATTATGCGTGATTCCAGTATCCAATATCGGAGCCCCAGTGAGTGCCAGCTTTTCTGCTTCTGATCCAGCTTCCTGGTGATGTGCCTGGGAGACAGTGGAAGATGGCCCAAGTGTTTGGGCCTCTGCCACCCATGGGGAAGACCTAGATGGTGTTCCAGGCTCCCAGCTCAGCCTGGCCCAACCCTGGCCATTGTGGCCATTTGGGGAATAGATCTCTCTCTGTCTGTCCCTCTCTGTGTCACACTGCCTTTCAAATAAATAAAATAATTTTTTTAAATGTTTTTTCTAGGGGCCAGCACTGTGGCATAGCAGGTTAAGCTGCCGCCTGCAATGCCAGCACCCTATATGGGTACTGGTTCGAGACCCAGCTGTTCCATTTCGCATTTGCTCCCTGCTAATACACCTAGGAAAGCAGCCCAAGCTCTTGGGCTCCTGTACCCATGTGGGAGACCCAGAGGAAGCCCCTGGCTCCTGGTTTCAGCGTGGCCCAGCCCTGGTCATTGAGGGCCATTTGGGGAGTGAACCAGTGGATGGAAGATCTCTCTCTGTTTCTCCTTCTCTCTCTATAACTCTGCCTTTCAAATAAATAAATAAATCTTTTTTAAAAGAAAGTTTTTCTAAACCCGCATATGCATTACTGATTAAGAGAAGCAAAAATGGAGCAGCACTAGTAAGATCCTGGCACCGTATTGCCCAGCTCCTTTAGTTACAGCTGTGTGACCTCAGCCAGGTCACCGAGGCTCTCTGTGCATCAGTAACCTCATTTCCAAGCAGGGGTAGTGGTGATCAGGATAATATCACCTCGGATTAATCGGGTAAATGTGAACCACTCAGAACAACACCTGGCACACGGGTGCTCATATGTGTGGTGTCTTATCAATTAATTCCACATTTGAATATCTGAGCCTCTACTAGGCTATGGAAATTCAGCAAAATAAAAAAAGATCTTGTATTGGGATAGAGGGGGACTCAGGGTGATCTCTTTCCTTCTCAAGTTTCAAACTTTGTGTGATGTGATATTACTGCTAAATTTTTTATGAAAGGTGTGTTTGGAGTGGAGTGAGCCACTGCCACAGGTTCTCCTTGCCCTCTGGGTGTCCTGGGTCTGCTGAGGCAGCCACATTCCCCTGCCAGGGGCGTGTCCAGACACACACCCACACAGGCCCGGATAGCAGGATGATAAACAGGGAACACACTCCCCGGATCACGGCAGCTGCGAGAAGCCGGGAGAAAGCGCATCAGAACCAGAGACCTTGCCCTGGCCCCTGGGGGCAAGAGTGCCACAGCCCCACTCCCACTAGCCCTCCTGACCCATCGCCCACCCCGCTTCCAGAAGGGAAGAAAGAAAGAACAGTTTGTTGCATTGACAGTTGGGGTGTTCTGTTTGGGTGGGGCAAGGGTGAAACCAAAGGAGCACTGAGGAACCTCCAGAGAACCCCAGAGCAGGGAGAGCCAGGAGCATCCCCTGGGCACTCTGGCCAGCCAGCCTCGCCAGCTGGCCATTGGCTCTTTTGGGCTGCAAAGGGAAAGGGCTGAGCTGGCCAGCATGCCAAACCAACACCTGGGAACTGGAAACTCCCTCTGGGAACCAAGGGCTGACCTGGGTTTTAGGAACCCCTCAGTCTTCATATTCTTTGATCTGCACAATTAACATTCTCTCCCGTGAATAATACCACAGGGCGAAAGGGTAATGGAGGGACAGGTGTCTGGTGTAGCTGTTCAGACACTGCTTCAGGAGCCAGCACTGTGGCATAGCGGGTAGAGCCATTGCCTGCAGGGCTGGCATCCCATATGGGCACCGATTTGAAACCTGGCTGCTCCACTTCCGATCCAGCTCCCTGCTATGGCCTAGGAAAGCAGTAGAAGATGGCCCAAGTCCTTGGGCCCCTGCACCCGTGTGGGAGACATGGAAGAAGCTCCTGGTTCCTGGCTTCAGATCAGCCCAGCTCTGACCATTGCAGCCATTTGGGGAGTGAATCAGCAGATGAAAGATCTCTCTCTCTCTCTGTCTGCTTCTGCCTCTCTATAACTCTACCTTTCAAATAAATAAACAAAAGACATCAACATCCCAGAGCTGGCTCTGTTTCCCATTCCAGCTTCCTGCTAATGCACACCCTGGGAGACAGTAGGTGATGGCTCAAGTAATTGGGACCCTACTACCTATCTGGATAGTAGGGTGGCCAGAGTCCCAGTTCTGGCTTCAGCCTGCCTCAGCTCCATCTGTTGCAGGCATTTCAGTAGTGAACCTGTAGATAGGAGATTCTCTCTCTTTCTCTCGCTCTCGCTCTCTCTCCCTGTCTTCAAAGTAATAAGTAAAAAATAAAGAAATGTAAGGGAAATGGATATAAAACCAGTAGCTTCAAGACAAAACCCCTAACACTCTTCCAATTGAGGGTTTTTTAAAAGATTTATTTAAAAAGAAAGGCAAAGCGGGCCGGCGCTGCAGCTCACTAGGCTAATCCTCCGCCTAGCGGCGCCGGCACACCGGGTTCTAGTCCCGGTCGGGGCACCGGATTCTGTCCCAGTTGCTCCTCTTCCAGGCCAGCTCTCTGCTGTGGCCAGGGAGTGCAGTGGAGGATGGCCCAGGTGCTTGGGCCCTGCACCCCATGGGAGACCAGGAAAAGCACCTGGCTCCTGGCTCCTGCCATCGGATCAGCGCGGTGCGCCGGCCGCGGCGGCCATTGGAGGGTGAACCAACAGCAAAGGAAGACCTTTCTCTCTGTCTCTCTCTCTCACTGTCCACTCTGCCTGTCAAAAAAAAAAAAAAAAAAAAAAAGGCAAAGCAACAGAGAGAGAGAGAATCTTCCATCGATTGATTCACTCCCCAAATGCCCACAACAGCCAGGTCTGGTCCAAGCTGAAGCAAAGAAACCAGAATTCCTTCCGGGTTTCCTACGTGGGTGGCAGGGTCTCACACACGCAGGCCATCTGCTGCCCTCCCAGGTGCAGTAATGGGAGCTGGATTAGAGCTTTTCAACTGGTAGCTTAACTGACTGCACCATGTCAGCTCCACAGTTGAGTTCTTACTTCCAGCAGGCCCCGCCCCCCTAGAAATGTGGAGTGGCTACTGCCCCCAGACCACCTTCTTCCCCTGTGTAGGGCCAGTTCCTCCTTAATCACAATCACAGCAAATGTTATTGTTTGCTGTGTTCCAGGGTTTATGTGTATAAACTCCCCCACTAGGGGCTTCTTCCATGTCTTACCCACCTTTGCATCTCCAGCACTGAGTGGATTCCCAACAAATACGAGCTGGAGTGTGTAACTGAAGCCGGTCTTCCGGACTGCAGCCACACAGAGCTTCTCACCTTTGCCGGAAAACAACTTGCTCTGTCTTGCTCTTATCTCAGTCTACAGCATTTTCCCTCCTCCCCTTTTCCATGTGGTGGACTCCTATTCACCCCCAAATCCTAGCTCACCTGCTACCCTCTCTGTGACACTATCTCCAGTAGCTGGGTAGTGACCACTGCTTTATCCTCTGGGCTTCGCTGACCACTGTGACAACTCAGCAGGAGCCACCCCTGTGCTCGCCGCCGGTGGCTGTGTTTATGGGCACACTAGCCCTTCTCCCCTGTGGGCAGAATGTTTAATTCTCGGCTGGCGCTGCGGCTCACTAGGATAATCCTCCGCCTTGTGGCACCGGCACCCCGGATTCTGGTCCCGGTCGGGGCGCCGGATTCTGTCCCGGTTGCCCCTCTTCCAGGCCAGCTCTCTGCTGTGGCCAGGGAGTGCAGTGGAGGATGGCCCGGGTACTTGGGCCCTGCACCCCATGGGAGACCAGGATAAGTACCTGGCTCCTGCCATCGGATCAGCGCGGTGCGGCGGCCATTGGAGGGTGAACCAACGGCAGGGGAGGATTTCTGTCTCTCTCTCTCTCACTGTCCACTCTGCCTGTTTAATTCTGTGCATCCCCGATGCTACACAATAGGTGCTCAGGTGTATGTTGAACAAACCACAGCGCATGTCCAAGGATGGGAATGCAAGATGCATACACACTTTGTCCTTTTCCACAAAGGACGACAAAGCAGAGGCCTTTGCTGTCCCTCCTCCCTAAACTGCCCAGTAGCCTGGCGTTAGATGGGCCCCCAGATGACCTACCCCTCCTCCTTCCTCTCAGTTGGCCCCTGTCCAGGCTGAACATGCGGGTTTCCAGCACCAGGGAGGAAGAGTTCCCCTCCATCCACTCAGTGGTCGGGAAGCCAAGCCTTGCACGCCACCCGCTCCTGTACACACACTGCTTCCTCACCTGAGGAACCCAGCCTTGGAGGCCTTGAAATGACACTTCTTAGCGAAGCCTTCTCTCACAGCCCCGGTGAGTTGGCACACCAGTTAAGAATGCTCTCAGTTGAAAGCAACAGAAAACCCAAGTAATGATTCTGACACTGGGTTGCCATTAGAATCACCTAAGGAGCTTTTCAAAATCCCCATCCCTGGACGCATGCCAGATCAACGCAATCAGAATCTCTGTGGGTGAGCCCAGGCACCAGGAGTTTCAAAGCCTCCTGTAATCTAATGTGCAGCCAAGGGGAGAGCACAGAAGCAGGGGTTTGTCTTTCTTACCTAATGAACCTAGAGGTGGGCGCTTGCTGGTGCTGGTCGAATAGATCAGTGATGTCCAGGCCAACATCTCCGTGATACTTTTTAAAACTTCCATTTACTCTCCTTATTTGGGAGGCAGAGAGACAGAGAGAGCTCCTACCCACTGGTTCATCCTCCACAGGTCGGTGAGCCAGGAACTGAATCCAAAGTGCATGGCAGGGACCCAACCTCTTGAGTCACAACCTACTACCTTCCAAGATGCACACCAGCAGGAAGCTGGAACTGGGAGCAGAGCTGGGACTCAAATCCAGGCCCCCCAACATGGTAGGCAGCATCCTAAATGCTGTGCCAAATGCCTGACACTTAGCAATACTCTTGATTTTCTTTTCTGCTTTTCTGCCTCATTATCACAAGAAAGCTGGAGTTCACTGTGTCCAAAGCAGGAAGAAAGTGGGAGAGAAAAGAGCAGAGCCCAGCCCCATCCTCTCATGACAAAAATCAGGCTGTCCCAGAAACGTCAGCAGCAGAGTCTCACTTAGCCGTCACATCACACCTGGGCCACCTCCAGCTGCAGAGGAGGCTGGACAAGTGGGCACCACGATACTTTATGGGTTGAAGGGTGAATCAGGCTCAGTCCTCAGGGGCTGAATACACTGTTACTCCCAAACTGCTGAGTGCTTTCAAGCAGGCAGCCAGCAGGTTCTGCCACCTTATATATGTATATGCTGTGTGCGTCATAGCTGCTTGTACGCACTCCAGCTATGGAAGACACCACATTAATGTGTTGTGGGGACATGTGGAGACATGTCTATGTTTCCCTCTACACTGACAGTTCTCATCTCTGGCTGCACATTACAAATACCTAGGGAGCTCTAGAAAGATAAAAGTGCCTCGAGCTCATCCATAGTGATTTTAATTTAATTGGTCCAAATGAAGTCCCAGCATAACTAATTTTTAAAAGCTCCCCAAGTGATTCTAATGTGCAGGCTGAGTTTTGGAAACCACTGCTTCACATCCAGTGCCTTAAGAACCCCTAGGGGAGGGGTTGTGGTGCAGTGTGGTTAAACCGATTCTCCAGATGCCCACAATCTGCATTAGAGTGCCAGTTCAAGTTCTGGCTCCTTCATTTCTGACCCAGCTTCCTGCTAATGCACCTGGGAAACATCAGATGATAGCCCAAGTACATGGGTTCCCACTACCCCTGAGGGAGACCCAGATGGAGTTTCCGGCTCCTGGCTTTGGCCCAGCCAAGCCCCAGCTATTGTGGGCATTTGAGTGAACCAGCAGACAGATCGCTCTGTTTCCCTCTGTCTCTCTGGCACTCTGCCTTTCGAAAATAAACAAACAAACAAACCTCTTAAAAATGTTTTTGCACCAAAATAAACTTATCTTTTAATTTTTTTTTAATTTGAGAGGTGACAGAGAGACAGAAAGAGGGTTCCCATGTGCTGGTTCATTCCTCAATTGCCAAAAATGTCCAGGGTTGGGCAGGGTCAAAGCCAGGAGTCAGCAACACAATTCAGGCCTCCACGAGGGTGGCAGGAACATGAGCCATCACAGCTGCCTCTCAGGGACCACATTAGCAGGTTCCAGAGCCAGGAATTGAACCCAGGTATTTTGGTGTGGGACGTGGGCAGCGTAACCAATACCTCAACCTCTAAGCTAAACGTCCACCTCACAAACTTACCCTCTAATTCCATTCTTCTGTGAACTTTTAGAAGAACCCTCTAGGGCTGGCAGGAATCCCTACTGAATGAACGAACGGCAGAGAAGAGTGAGGTGTGTATTGTCCTAACTGTGGTCCTTCCCTTCTTCAAATCTCACTTCTTTACCGAGCCCTGCATGTAACTTCTGTTAGTTATCCACATCTGCAGCCCAGCTGGACTCTCCTGTGTGCCCACACTGCCTGCTTCTCCAGCTGCTGGACTGAATAGCCCAGTCCCACTCTTCGCTGGCAGCTGCCCTAGGCTGAGAAGGAGATAACTCTCTCTCTTGATAGCCAGGCTCAGCCCATGGGCCTCAGCTAAACCGCCTGACCAGTGTGAGAGAACATCAGGAGGTAGAGACGTCCCAAGCCTTCTACCCCCACAGCCCACCATCACCCTAAAATGGACACCCAAGCATGCAGCAGCAGAGTGCCTGGCCTAACTAATTAGCAATGCACAGAGAAAATTTTTGCTTCTCCTGCCCACATGTAGAAAATGAATCTTATCTGATTCTTTGGACAAATGTGAGTCTGAGAAATGCCCCTGCTGACATCAGAGGAATGAGTCAGGGGTGAGTACATGCCCAGAGCTGATATCATCTGGTCCCCTACCATGTGCTTCTGAAACTGCTTGTTCAAAGGTAACCGACAGGCCAGGCTTCACAAGTGCGCAGCTGTGCGCTCGCCCTGGGCCCCAGCCCCCTGATCACGAGGGCCCTGCACTTGGTTTTACCCTCTGCTACCGCTGCCTTGGAATTCTTAACAGTTTTTGCACAAAAGGCCCCACATTTTCTTTTGCACTGGGCCCAGCAATTACATGTCCAGTCCTGCTAGCCTATAATCTTGTACAAAATCCAGCCAGGATTTTCTTCTCAGAAAGGCCTGCATAGCACCTGACCTCATCTTCCTGCAAGCAGATCTCTCCTCCCCAGTCTCTGCGGTTCTCTCCCACCCATCTGACCTAGGAGGAGTGACCCAGGGGGTCCACACACGGCCATGGACACTGTTGGAGGTTATAGGCAAGGGCTCAGGGGTGGCATAGGGGCAAGAGAGCTGCAGATGGGAATGGGAGGTGGTTGGAGAAGGAATCAGAAAACTGGGCCACTGGTTCACTGTGTAACTCTGCTCACACTCTTAGCCCTAGTTTATCTGCCTATAATTTAAGAGGATCAAACTAGATGGTCCATTCCCTGGAGCTCTGTCACCAGCTAAGGCTCTAAATCCGAGCTGGAGGTGGTATGGGGATAATGGCACCACAGGAGGAAAAGCTGTAGGGTGGCCAAGGCAGCTGATGTGTAGACCTGCGAGTCGAGGGACTTACAGAGAACCAGCTACGGGGGAAGGGGAATGTCTGGCCTGCAGGACGTATAAGGCCTGCAAAATTATTTGATCTGGCCCTGCCAAGGCAACCACAGGCTGGTTTCAATTTCAGTAAATCTATAGAGGGCTAATTTTTTAAGCTGATAATTTTGTATAGCCCATGAATAATATTATAAATATCTAAATGGTCCTTGACAGTAAAAAGATTCCCTACCCCTGATGAAATGACCTCATCACAACAGTGACCCTTGTCACCCATGCCCCTGCAGTCACAGGAGATGAAGTAGGTGGGAAAACCCTGACCTGGGTGCTAAAATCATGGAGGAAGGCCATGTTCTGGAAGACAGTAATGCAGTAACAACTAGTATTTGCTGAGCACCCCACAAAGGACCTTCACATTCGCCCAACCCTAGCAGACCCTCTGCACCCTGCAGCAGTGTTCTCATGTCCAAAGGCAGACACGGGGCTCAGAGGGGTGAGGTGATGTGCCCAAAGTCACACACAGAACGTGGAGGACTGGACTGTGGCCCAGCAGGTTGAGCTGCTGTTTGCAATGCTGGCATTCCACAGCAGAACATCAATTCGAGTCCTCGCTGCTCTGCTTCCGATCAGTCTCCCTACTAATGCACCTGGGAAAGTAGCAGAAGATAGCCAAAGTACTTGGGTCCCTACCGCCCATATGGAGACCCTGATGGAGAGTTTCTGGCTCCTGGCTTCTGCCTGGCACAGCCCTGGCCTTTGCAGGCAGCCATTTGGGGAGTGAACCAGCATCTAAATCTCTCTCTCTCTCTCTCTCTCTCTCTCTCTCTCTCTCTCTCGTTCTCTATCACTACCCCCTTCTATTCTCTGCCTTTCGAAATAAATAAATATTTTTTAAATGGGCCTTCTGGCTTCAAACCCTTCTTCCCACCACACAGTGGACATTAGGAGAGGATGGTGTGTTGAGGTGGCATGGGCTGCAAATGAGGCCCTGAGAAATAACTCATCCAAGCCCTCTTCAGTTCCAAGGCACGAAGAGGAGTTCCAAGCACCTACCTGGAAGCCCAGGGCCCCCAAAACGGAGAGAGAATCAGGGTCTGTCCTGATCCAGAACAAAAATCAACAGAATATATAATATGAGATAACACTCAGGGTTTTGTCAGTCTTTTAAAGAAATCCTTTCAACTCCTAGAGTCATCGTCCACCAACCACACAGAATACAAACCAAAATTGAACCACAGCGCCCCCTGGCGGGCCAGCGTGCTGGGCACTGAGGAGCCAGGAGATAAGGCTCTCTACAGAAGAAAATGTTCCAAGAAAAAGACTGGGGGAAGTTTTCTCACAAGGGATGAGGGTGTCACAGGACATGGAGGCAGAACAGAGGAGAGTAGGGGGAGAGATGGTGTTGAGGGATACATGTTTCTGGAGGCAATGGATGTGAGATGGGGCCCACCCAGTTCTGCCCACTAGGCCTGCCAAGCAGGGATCCTACTGCCCAGCCAGGCTCTGGGCAAGAAAGAAAGCTTCTTAGAGACAGAGTCTCAGCCTTGCGGGGTGAGAGGTGATGGAAGACGGCAACATGAAGTCTTGGGAGGGGAGCTCAAAGGCAGGGAATGGGGTTGGGGTCTGATCTCCCAGTGGCAGAGTTTATCAGGGTCCAGGATCTGCCCTTTCTTGGCATCACCTGGTCAGCCATGGCTCAGGTATCCGACACCTGGGGCCCAGAGTCACATGCCAGGAAACCCAACACTCTCTGGCCCCAGCCCCCAACATCAGCAACTACGAACAAACAGGGCTTCTGGAAGAGGAAGGGGGTCTCCAGAGCTAAGCGGCAGGGCGGCTACTTCTGGGGAGAGGGCAACAACTCAGAAGGCTCTGCCAGCAACAGGGGTGAGAGACTGGGAAGAGGAGGGAGAAGTGGGGGGCACACAGGGCAAAGAGGACAGAGCTGGGACAGGCAGAAGGGTGGGTACTACTAGGAAGGGGGTGATGGGCTTAGCAGGTGGGGCCAGAGGTACCTCTTACCCAGGCATCTGGTCTAGATGGATGACTCAAAGTCCTGTGGCTGATCTGTCTTCCTTGTCTTCTTAATAGTACCAGCCAGACCCTCAGGTGCCCCCCTGGCCCAGCTGGACGCCACCCAGGTAGGTAGGTAGGAAGGAAAATACTTCATTTCAGTGAGGGAAATAAATACATGGACAGAGACAGATACTTAGAGACCCCAAGGCAGGAATGAGCAATGGGGCATTGGGCCAAGAAACTTTGGAAGTTAACCATCTAGAATCATTAGGCCCTAAGAGAGTCCCAAGCCTGAGGGATCCTTTACTCAAAACACTCTACCGAGAAACCCTAGATTGAGAGACCCACACCTGATTCAGTCCCCGGAGGAGGGGCCCAGGCCCAAGAGACCCCACAGAGGGCCTGCAGGAGAGAGCTGGCAGTGGGGAATGGAGTTCTCTTGGAATGGAGTGTTAGCTTTTCCTTTACCTGGTCTTTTCTCCCCTAGGTCCCAGTCCACTCCAGGACTATGCCAATCTGTGGCCATGCTCCCATCAACCAGTTGTCTCCTGTCCCTCCTGCTGCTGCCATGTGCAGGGGGTACCGTGCCCAGCCCCCAGGTACGTCCTCAGGGCTGCTATGTGGCAGAAGAAGCCGGTGAGCGGACGTTCCGCTGCAGCCAGGCAGGCCTGAGTGCTATGCCCACCGGCATCCCCAACGACACCCGCAAGCTCTACCTGGATGCCAACAAGCTGATATCGGTGCCAGCTGGAGCCTTCCAGCACTTGCCTGTCCTGGAGGAGCTCGACCTGTCCCATAATGCCCTTGAACACCTCTCGGGGGCTGCTTTCCAGGGCCTGGCGGGCACTCTGCGCCTCCTTGACCTCTCTGCCAACCAGCTGGCCTCGGTGCCCGTGGAGGCCTTCGTGGGACTGCAGATCCAAGTGAACCTGTCTGCCAACCCGTGGCGCTGTGACTGTGCCCTCCAGGAAGTGCTCAGGCAGGTGAGGCTGGCGCCGGGCACCGGGACGGGCATTGTGTGCGGCCCAGGAGCCCGACCAGACCTCGTTGGGCAGGAGTTCCTGCTGCTGGCTGGCGAGGAAGAACTGTGCGGGACAGGACGTGGTGGGGCCCGGCAGAGCACTGATGTGGCCCTGTTGGTCACCATGGGGGGCTGGCTGACACTGGTGGTGGCTTATCTGGTCCACTATGTGTGGCAGAACCGGGATGAGACCCGGCGCCCTCTCAAGCGAGCCCCAGTGGTACCTATGCGCTCCGAAGACTCCTCCACCCTCAGCACAGTGGTCTGATGATGGGGGGCCCCACACTCCCACCGTGAGCCTCTGACTCCCTCTGCCTCTTCTACAACCCCACCCATCTCCTCATCCCATCCCACCCTTGTAGCCTCTGTCTCCCCTAAAAACCTGATCTCTTTCTCTTTCTCCTAACGCCATCTTTGATGCCTGGATTTTGGGGAGCCTACTCTTTGCCTGGATTGTGCTAGACTCAGAACCCAACACTCCTGGGTTCATGGTGGTGGGGGATGAGAGAACAGAGAATGACGGCAGGTGGTCTGTGTGCCAACATAGCCGCAGCCGTGGGAGCACTGAGGAGGGAGTCAGTCCCTCGGTGCGGGTGTCTCAAGGCCTTCTCTGCAGACATGTTTGGACTGACATTTAAAGACAGAGAGGGAATTTGGGAAGAAAAGAGGGAGGGATCCTAGATGAAAGGCTGTGTACAAAGACAAGGAAAATATAAAACAACTGAGAACACCTGAGCAGGGCCAGGACCTCCCTCGGTACTGCTAGAAAGGATGCAGAGAGGGGCGAGGGGTGGTCAGAAAGTTGGGGTGCCGGGGCCAGCATGTGGCATAGGTTAAATCAGCCCTTGCAGTGCCAGCCTCCCATATCCAAGCACTGGTTCAAGTCCTGTCTGCTCCACTTCTGATCCAGCTCCCTGATAATGAACCTAGAGAGGCAGGTGGAAGATGGCAGGGAGACCTGGGTGGAGTTCCAAACTCCAGGCTTTGGCCTGGCCCAACTCTGGCCATTATAGCCATTTGGGTTGCAGTGGATAGAAGATCTCTCCTCCCACCCACCTTTCCCTCTCCCTCTTCTCCCCCCACCTACCTTGCTCTGCCTTTCAAATAAATAAATGAGTCTTTAAAAAAGAAAGGTTGGGATGCAGCCAGATTGGGAAAGACCTTGTAGCTTCCTTCTCTCTTCTCCCTCTGCCCCTACCGAGAACTTCCTCTTTGCTTTTTACCTCTCTCCTGTCCCCAGGCTTTCTCCCAGTGCCCTGTACTGGGGACCCCCTGACTGAAGGCCCCCCACTACCTTTCCCAGAGACTCTTTATCTCTCTGCCCTCTCTACACACTGAAGGATTCCTTGAACCCTTTCTCTTGGGGAAAAAGTGGTCTCTAGGACTGAGCTGGGAATGACTGGAGATCTCGAGGCACAAGGAAGACTCCAGAACTCACTGAGCAACACAATAAAGCCCCCATGATTGTTCATTTATTGGACATGTGTGGGCCGGTGGTGAGAAGGGCCAGAGGGGCTGAGCTCTTCCCCACTCCCTCCACCTCCCTCTGGAGGCTGGGCTGAGTGCCAGCTCCCTTTCCCTGCCTGCCCTCCCTCCCAGCTCCAGACACCAGAGTGTGTGTGCCAGGGAAGCCAGGGCCTAGGATTGACGACGATGGAACTGGAGGGGCAGAGGATGAGAGGAAGCCTTGAGAGAGGACAGCCAGGGAGGAGGGAGAGAAGGCAGCGTCCAGGCAGCAGCTATCAGTGGGCAGTCTCCAATCTGCCGGCCCAGGCAGCCTTCCTGGAGCCCCAGGTCCTGGCTGTTCCTTCCTTCCAAGGAATCTGTCTTTTCTCTCACACACGCGCGTCTGCATAGGGTAACAGCTATGTACAGAAGTGCACACAAGGTCAACAAAAGAACTTGGTGGGGGTAGGGGAGACACAGGAGGCCATGTGACCTATTACCAAACAGGTTGTCAAGAACCCTAAGGGTCCTCATACCCTGTGGGCCATTCAGCAGGACCCACCCACATGGCCTTCATGGAAAAGAGCTGCTCATGGGAGCCCACCCAGCAACTGAAAATAAAAACCATTGAACCAGGGTTCCAGCCAGCTTGGGGCAGTCACTGAAGCCAGGTGTGTAGTCACTCAAGGAGTGCACAGGGGAATCCATCGATTCCCCCGGGCCCCCCTGCCCCATCCTGACTTCCCTCTTTTCTAGCACCTTCTCCCCCTCCTCTCTCAATCACTGAGGCTCCTACAACACACACGACGACCACTCCAAGTCTGAGCTCCCTGGCACCATCCAGGAAGCCCCAACTTGATTCAGCTCAGAAAAACCTGCCACTTCCACCCATCATCCTTTCTCAGGCAGCCTGAGCCTCCACAGCTCCAGGGATGCTGGTTCTCTCTGACCGTCCATCCCAGCCACAGCTGGCCTGGGCCTGAGAATCCTGGCCCCCTTCCCCACTAAGCCCATCAGCCTCTCTCCCCTGTCACCCTCAGAGCATGTCTTGATCTGCTGCCCCACCCCCTACAGGAATCAGACTAGGACACAGCTCACTGGGTTCTTGAAAACAGATCGTGTAGAACAGCAGGGATACAAGAGTGGCAACAACGGGATCCTATGCCTCCATCACCTGTGCCCGTTCCTTATTTAACCCTCTGCTGTCCCGAGCAGAGGGCCACCTCCTCCAACCCTGATAGCTTACCCCAGTTGTCAGAAAGCTCAGTGCAGGACAGGATTCAGGGAAGGAGTTTTGCTTGTACCCCTGCTCAGGGGGTACCTGGAGCCAGGTATTCCTGACCCCTAGATAATCAGTGCCCCACCAATTACTGCCCAGCTCAGATCAGTGCCCCTGCTAGGAGTAGCAGAGGAGCAGCAGAGGGAGGACAAGAGGGCAGAGAGGAGGGTCGGGAGGTGGCGGGGAATACTTCACTGGCTCCTCTCCTCATGAAGAGACCCTATCACCCTAGCCCGCTGGGGTCCCTAAGTTAAAACTTCCTGGCATGAGGATATCAGAAGCTGTAGCTTGAAGCCAGCATTAGAGCATAGCAGGTAAAGCCACCACCTGCTGTCACCCATATGGGCATCAGTTTGTATCTGGCCACTCCACTCCAGATCCAGCTCCCTGCTAATGGCCTGGGAAAAGCAGCAAAAGATGGCCCCCAAGTGCCTGGACCCTTGCCACCCACATGGGAGACCTGGATGAAGCTCCTGGCCCTTGGCTTCAGCTAACCCAGCTAGTAATGTCAGTTGTGGCCAACTGGAGAATGAACCAGCACATGGAAGATCTCTCTCTCTCTCTCTCTCTCTCTCTCTCTCTCTCTCAACTGACTTTCAAATAAATAAATAAATCTTTTTAAAAGAAGCTATAGCGGGCCGGCGCCGCGGCTCACTAGGCTAATCCTCCGCCTTGCGGTGTTAGCACACCGGGTTCTAGTCCCGGTCGGGGCGCCGGATTCTGTCCCGGTTGCCCCTCTTCCAGGCCAGCTCTCTGCTGTGGCCAGGGAGTGCAGTGGAGGATGGCCCAAGTGCTTGGGCCCTGCACCCCATGGGAGACCAGGAGAAGTACCTGGCTCCTGCCATCGGATCGGCCCGGTGCGCTGGTTGCAGCGCGCCAGCCGCGCCGGCCATTGGAGGGTGAACTAACGGCAAAGGAAGACCTTTCTCTGTCTCTCTCTCTCACTGTCCACTCCTGCCTGTCAAAAAAAAAAAAAAAAAAAAAAGAAGAAGAAGAAGCTATAGCGTCTGCTCAGCCCATCCAACACAGGAGCCTGGACACAGAGGCACCTGCCTGGAATAAGAGTCTGTGAACCCCGAGGCCCTTCCCTCAGCACCCTGGCTTGGAAGTGGTGTGTCCCCCAAGGGTTCACGTGTTGGAGGCTTGGTCTCCAGCTGGGCGATGTGAGAGGCGGGAGAACCTTTAGGAGGTGCCTCGGTGACATCTGGGACATCAGGGACACTGCCCTCCTGGAGGATTAAGTGGTTCTTGCCCAATAGAGTTGTTCTACAAGAGCAAGGACAGCCCCTCCCCACTCTCCCCCGACTTCCTGGCCCATCATGGGCTCTCCCCGCTCACGCATGCTCCTGCCACGATGCCACCTGCCATGATGGACTGTACCTTGGGGCCCTTACAAGAGGCTTCTCTGGACTGTGGGCTGTCCTTATGTCCACCTCTAAAACTATGAGCTAAATAAACCTCTTTTCTTTAGAAGTCATCACGTCGCTGGCATGTTGTCATAGCAGCAGCAGATGTTCTAACACAACCCCTATACTCATCTCTGTCACGGACTGGGATCACAGGGCCCAGGCTCCGAGATGCCACTGGGCTGTGGTGAGGAGGCTGCCGCCTGTTTCCACTTCGCATGGACTAACGGGTGCGTTTCCTGGGCAAGCCCTGGATCAGGAGCAGCCTCTTCCACTGAGCTGTGGTGGAGCCCAGAACAAAGCTGCCACGTACCAAGAGAGCCCAGTTCCGAGGCAAGAACCCAGGTAGTCAGCCGGCACTGCAGCTCACTAGGCTAATCCTCCGCCTGTGGCGCCAGCACACCGGGTTCTAGTCCCGGTCGGAGCGCCGGATTCTGTCCTGGTTGCTCCTCTTCCAGGCCAGCTCTCTGCTGTGGCCAGGGAGTGCAGTGGAGGATGGCCCAAGTGCTTGGGCCCTGCACCCCACGGGAGACCAGGAGAAGCACCTGGCTCCTGCCTTTGGATCAGCGCGATGCGCCAGCCGCGGCAGCCATTGGAGGGTGAACCAACGGCAGGGGAGGACCTTTCTCTCTGTCTCTCTCTCACTGTCCACTCTGCCTGTCAAAAAAAAAAAAAAAAAGAACGAACCCAGGTAGCCTGGTACAGGCCCCAGCTTGTCGTCCACAGGCAGCATCCCGGGGCCGGCAGGCTGTTCCGGGTAGGAAGAAGGAAGGTCCCCGTAGCCCTTCAAGCACCAGCTACTTCCCACCCCATGAAGCGGAGACCCGGAGCAGCAGGGAAAGCAGGCGGTACCCTCAGAGTCCCCAGTGTGAGTGGGGTGACAGGTAACTCTCCCAGGTTAATGGAAAACAGTGTCTTTTTCCTTAGGGAATTCTGAGCCTGACTGAGTAAAGACATTGCCCAGACACGGGGCGCGGGGCTGACTTCGGGGGGGATCCAGGCGTTCCTCCCCGTGCACCCTCGCCCCGTCAGCCCCACCAAGCCCCAAACCCACGCGGGGCAGGAGGGTTCCTGGCTCTCCATCGTCTAAGGCAGTGGCCCATGGTGACAGCGGGTGTCCCTCTCCCTCTACAGGGTCCTCAGTGCCCACCGAAAACACTGCAAGGAGCGAGCTGCGCGCACACGCCACACCCGACCCTGCCCGGATCCCCCTTCCCGGGCCTGCGGTGTCGGAGGGAGGGAGCAGGTGCCTGGGAGCAGCGGGACGCGCAGAGAGAGGGGTGGAGAGGGGTAGGGTCCGGTCACCACCGTCCTGTACCCAAACCTCAGTCCCGCCCTGAAACGGACCCCCGGAGCACACGGGGTGTCGGGCGCCGTAGGCTGAGGGAAAGCACCAGCGGCTGGGGAGAACGGCCAGACCCGGTAGCGCCCAGCCCGAGGAAAGAACGGCCGGCGCCGCGGATCTGAGCGCGGGAGAACACTGCACGGCCGACGGCGCAGGGGCGGGGCGGGGCGGGGCGGGGCGGGGCGGGGCGCTCAGCGAGCGGGGGCGGGGCTAAGGAGGACGCCGGAACTGCACGGTGCGAGTCGGGACTTGGGGCGAGATGGGGCGGGACTGGGGCGTCCGGGGCGGGGCTGGAGCGGAGTGGGCGGGGTGCAGGGCGGCTTGGCAGAGCCCGCCCAGGCGGTGACGGTGCAGAGCCCGCCCAGGCGGTGACGGTACAGAGCCGCAGAGCTGTGGGACGCGAGGCGGGGCCTAAGACAGATGTGGGCGGAGCTTCGTCACAGAGGCGGGGCTATGGGCTGCTTGCCCTCAGAAATCTGAGGCTTCTTTAAAAATTTATTGATTTGATAGGCAGTTACAGATAGTGTGAGAGAGAGACAGAGAGAAAGATCCTCTCTCCGCTGGTTCACTCCCCAAATGGCCGCAATGGCTGGAGCTAGGCCCATCGGAAGCCAGAAGCCAGGTGCTTCCTCCTGGTCTCCCATGCGGGTGCAGGGCCCAAGCACCTGGGCAATCCTCCACTGCACTCCCGGGCCACAGCAGAGAGCCGGACTGGAAGGGACAGAACCCTGCACCCATACGGGATGCCGGGGCCGCAGGCAGAGAATCAACCAAGTGTGCCACCACGCCGGCCCCAAAAAAAGCTTTTCTTTTTTAAAGGTTTCTTTATATTTTGGAAAGGCAGAGTACAGAGCGGGGGAAAGAGAGCGATCCTCCATTTTCTGGTTCATTCCCCAAATGGCTTCAACAGCTGGGGTTGAGCGAGGCAGAAGCCAGGAGCCAGGAACTCCATCCAGATCTCCCAAGCGGGTGCAGGAAGCGTTAGCCATCCTT